CTTTATTTATATTAAATTTTTATAATAATATTGATTTGTATTAAAATTTTTGTCCTTTAGTACTATGTATATCTAGAGCCTTAACGATCATTTTCGAATTTTCAAACGCTTTCTTTATCATGTTCAACATACTAAGAATTCTATGATAAGGCGTATTTATCATTTTAAAATCAGAACTATACTCGTTAGAACCGTGTAGAATTTTTCTTTTTATATTTCATGTTTTTTTTAAAATTTCTTCGTCTGCGGTATTTTTGAAATTAATGAATAAGATTTTTTCGATTTAAGCTTTGAAACGAATCTGAATTGTATTAACTTTTTTACAAATACCTTATGTAATTGCACATATAATCCCTTTAAATCATGAAACTTTATATATAGTTTGTTAGAGTTTCCTTACACAAATACAGTTTATATATTTGGTTTTTTACCTGGGAAATGTCCTACCTTCGGAGCTACTTCATATTCTTCCTATTTTTTTGATTATTCTACCCTTTTTATCCGGTGGTTTGCTTTCAATATCAAAAAAATTCGCCCATATGTCATAAATATGAGTATTGATGAAACTAGTATCAGTTTTAGCTATCTTTTTTCTTTCATTTATTTTTAGCTAGTCTTGTTAAACTTTTTAAATATATAATTATATTTATTGTGAGATAATATTTTTCAGTTCTAGAATTTTTTTCAAGTGAAAGAGGGTGATAAATATCATAAATATTCATTATTGGATATCTTTTTTTTTGTGAAAAAATGATATAATAAAACCATAACTACGATATTTTTTCCTAATTTACACGTAATTTTTTTAAATTAGTAGTTTTTTATAATTTTTCAGCGTGTTATTTTTTATTACCTAGAAAATCTATTAGTGGAATATTTATTTGAAAAAAAAATGAGCTATGATCTATAAATTTCTAAATAAGCAATCTCATTACTAAATAAACCATTAAAATTTGGGTGGGGGGGGGGTCATTTAAAATAATATTTATAACATTAAAAATGGATTACTTGAGTTTCAAAGGTATTCAGTTGTTTGTATTTTTTTTATTTCAGCACTACTGGAATACTAAAAATTGAAATATTGAAATTTTTTTTATACTTTTTGATAAAACAAATATAAAGTATTAAGATCCTATTTTTTTCATGATCAATTTTAAAAAATACGCAAATTTCATTTTTTTGCTGTTTTGATTATTTAGAATTACATTAAGAAAAACTAAAAGGAATTTTAGTATGCAAATAGTCATGGTGTCTTTTTTTTAATTGAAGGCCTTTATCATTATGTTTGGGTGAATGATAATGTTATTTTTTCTTGTTCTTCGAATTTTTTACTGGGTAACTTTAAGAAATCCTTTCTGGTAAAAAAAAGGCTTTTTTTTTCTGAAAAAAAATACCAAAGAATATGTAATTATAAATCAAATTATCTTTCTAATAATTAATTTATTTGTGGACATGATATTTTTCTTATCTGACTTATTTTAAAGCTTTTATTCGGAGTTTTAACCTTAAAACAACAGCTTTCTGGTAGAAGAAAATAGTAATGTAATATATAATTTATGTATAAAAGCAAAATAATATGCTAGCTAAGAACTTCAAAAAGTTTTTTGAGGCAGAAATAGACCATAACTTGCACTCCGCATCATGCAGCACTGTTAACAGCCATAATTTTACTTATGAGTATATATCGCTCTTCGCATACACGAATTATGCAAGCTATACTTATGGCAATAGCACTGTAAACCATATATGGTGATTGGCTAATAAA